TCAAACTTCCATAACTCTAAGTACCATTTTGCAAAGAAAAGGTTCGACTTGTGGAGACTTTGAGTTAGAGAATTATAGTGAAGTGAATCATTCAAAAATTAGGGTTTGGGAACTTAATTTTGTATCTTATTTTCAGTAAAAAAAGTTTCCAATTTATTCCAAGCCTTATAGTGATCATCAGTTGCAGTATCATTCGTTTGTTAATAAATATATAGAATTTTGAATGAGTCTTCTACTACATTCTTGGAAGGCTAATAAACAATTTCATTCACCGAACCCTCAACATCACTTTCCATTACGCTTAGAATCGGATGCACTAATTCAAAGCTATAATGCTATATAATGTCGACATCTGTAGGAAAGTCTGATGTACAAATTTCATTGTCAAGCTCTATATAATCGTTAAGAGAAGCATAGAAGTTATTTACTTTAAACCACGCTACCAGCGACTGGCATTTGCACAAAGAAGCAATATAAGAAAAAAAATTAAACATTTGATTTGAAAAAGAGACTTCCCCTAACACCAAAATAGATTCATACTTAAAACAAAAATTTGACTTGTAGAATGCACTTTCCAACATTCCAGAAATTCGAATTATAGAAGTTCGAGTTTTGGAAGTTTGACAGTATTGTATATAAATTTTACAATTATGCGAATTTGTTTCTTTATTTTTTATTTTAATATTCATTAACCGTTACATATCAAAAAAAATAATGACTTTTACTTTTAGTCATTACAATTTAGTGATTATAATCACTTTCAAAATTGGTGGCATTTGCTTGCTTGTCATTAACATTAAAGCGATCTTTAACTTCGATGTAATGCATCCATGTAAATAATAGCCGCAAAACTACCGCTGCAATCGGAAAGAATAGAGTTGATTTAATTGAACTCCAAAACGGATAGTTCACCCTATCTTCATGAACTTTTTCAACACCGGGTTCTATTTCTCCCTGATCTTCTGCATCTTGCATCTTATATTGATTCATATATTCGGTTACTTCTGCAGCCTTTTGACTTTCGTATTCATGCTCACTTACGGGTTCTATAAAGTCCTCTTCATATTGATCTGAGAGTGAGAGCAGTTCCACTTTACACTGACCTGGAGCTTCAATTTCCGTAGTAACCTTATTTTCTTGACGCTGTTCTGGAGACTGAATGGGGGTTGAAGACGGCAAAATTTGTTCCTGAGACATAGCGTTGAATGACATTTTTTCAACTATAAAAAAATTAATGAGTTATAATATTTGCAGTTAATGGCTTTAGTATGAAATTTTACTCACATTTCGGAAATAGCTGTGATAACTTTTAAATGACAGTTTGATCTTTCAGAATTCGAAGTTGACTGAATTCAAATAATATTTAAAATGTGTATTTAATAATTTTCTATATAACATATAATAATTTGAAAATTTTTTGGGTTACTTAGTTCACATTTAACTAAGATATAAAAATAGTAAAATATATTTTACGAAATCGGTAAAATAAAATTTAATCGAATCTACTTTTGATACCTGTGACTGCTGAATTTCATTAAAGAAGTTAATTATTATTTATTAGAGGATAAGAGGATATAAGAGGATTATTAATAAGATTTTTAGTTATTGTTAAATTTTTTGTTTATATATAAAAAAATATGTCTTACACTTATTTACCTAATTTAATAAAAATTATAGATTCTTAAGTTGAGTGTGCCTTGCTACAATTCGTAGACGCGTGGATCCGTTCTTGTGTTTCATGACCAAGCCTTGTGTCTATCTTTGGTTTATCGTTATGCTTTAAGAAATGTTACAGAAGAGTTTTTTTTCCTCATAGTTCAACTATACATGATAATGTTATTGTATTTTATATTTATTAGAGTATCTATTTAAGAAGTGTTTATATCTTCTATATTAAAAAATTTATTATAATATATAATAGTAGTGTTTTGAACAGAGAGTAGCGAATCTAGTATTGTTTAGCTTGGGTGCCTGGGTATGAAGGGTTATGACCACGGCGCTTTAAAAAACACACGTATTAAGATAATACGTCAATAAACAATACACCTATTGGAAATTCTAGGTAATTTCCGCCGACGCCAATTAAAGTTATATGTTTGCCATAACTTTCTCCTTGGTAAGATGTGAGACCCACTCTACTCTCTGCTGATCTTTGGTGTAAATATGCACTTTAAAATAAAATCCTTTTTCTCGCGTAAGTTTGGGTATTAACCACAGCCATCACGACTCTTTCAAACTTAGTTGGTTAGGACAGCCGAGGGCGCCGTACCCCCGTGATACTAGACTACTACCACCGGTCAGGTATCGCAAGTGAGGACACTCACTTACTACCAAAACAGTACCGATATAGCGCCGGGATTTTAGTCGCCTCTTACGACAGACATGTCATTTACGTAGACACCTCGTCTTGAAGGCTTAACACCACGGAACTTAGGGGAACTCCATATGAGCTCTGAGGAATTTCGCCGGTACCAGTTGAAGCTGTGTTTGGGCATAACTTCCACCTTGGTGAGAAGGAGCAGTCAGTTTTAAAGTATTGTATAATACAGAAAATTCTTTAAAAAGTGTCCGCAGGTTCTGTTAGTTACAACCTTATTAGTCGCCAGGATTTCTTGAATGATTTGAAAGTGCGTGTGCCAGCACATTTGAGTGACTACCAAAACGGCTTAGATATATCTTATAATGTTTGTACAAGGAGTAAAATGTTGGGTTGTAAGTTTTAGCGTAACCTGTCGTTAGTACAATAAAATTTAATATATAAATTTATTATAATAATAGTGGATAATAATTATGTTTTTAGGCTCATGATGTGAGTGAGTGTAGAAATGTGTAGTAGCTTTAGATGGTGTGGTTTCTTGAGTTACATAAAATTTAATATTACAAAAAAGTAGTTATTATTGCGCATTGGAACATTAGAATATATGAAGTGGGTTTAATATCTGCTAAAGGTTTACATGTATGTTGATCCTTTTTTCGAGTCAGCGCAACTGGGCACTTTTACTCTTTGATAGCTGGGGGTACTACAGGGTCCCATCCATCTCATTGACTAACTTATGTATTCCCTATAAGCTTCATGATTATTCAGTGATTGATTTAAGATCTGCGTACCTCCCAGTGCGGAGAGTGATTACTCTAAGATTAGATAGTGGTAAGTCCATTTTCGCATATAACTTCAGGGCTCTGTCCCTTATGTATTTTTTGATCGGGTCTATTCTAAGGTCTCTTAGCATGTCGTTTGTGCGGATGTACCAAGGCACTTTGAAGAGCCTTCGGAGAGCCTGACTTTGGGCAACTTGTAGCTTTTGTATAGTAAAGTCGGCAGCTTTGCTATACGCGACACAACCATAAAGTAATGCTGGTCTAATTATCTGGCTACATTATTGTATATTTATAACATTGTATTTATTAATTAAAATTTTATATTTAAATTTTTTTTTCGTATATTGCATTATTATAAAAACATTATTTTAAACAAAAAGCATTAAACTCTGCTGTGTTGCTTAATTAAAACCACAATAAACGATAACATTGGAACCAAGCAGTTAACCAATAATCTACCAACAAACCAATGAACTTGCGTAAACAACTGAATGCGGAGACAATGGTGTCCTTAAACAGGACTGAATATGTAATATGTGCACTGAGTCGAGGCTCCTAAACATGCACATTGCCATCGATTCACGTAAGCTCACTGGCATTAAGTGTGAATATGTTGTAACGTGTAAATGTCATTTTAATTGTGTGGAAAGTTTTGTCACGTATTTGACTGGCAATGCTTTTATTTTAGTGCATTATTTTCTAGTGTTTCGCACGTTTTCCCATTTCCCATTTCCATTTTCCATTCATCGAAGTTCAGATAAAGCGAGCAATTTCGTTTTTTAATAATGTCGAAAATTGAAATGGAATAACAAAATTAACAAGTTACAAAATTACTAAACTTAAACTGAATTTTACAACGAATTTTTGTCGTTTATATTTAGTGACTTTATTTTAAATTTAAAAAATTACAAATTTCAAATAAGTTTGTAGTGCACTGAATTGCATAAATCATCATAATTATTAATACTAATTTCGCAAATGATTTATTCACCCAGAAATGTGCATTAATTGCAAGTGGAGAATTAAGTTTCACGTAATGATTCAATATTGTAAAATACTTTTTTGGAAAATTTATGACTTTGTGCAGTTGCTTAGCAGACGCAGTGTCTCGCGATACTGCACTATTTACTAGAGTTCGAGTCGGGACTCGCTTACAGGACGAGGCGCCTTAATGCACTTCCAATAACAAATTTTTGCATACAGATTCAGTTTCAGATTCCATTAACAATTTACGTCCTCGTAGAACAATGAACAATGACACACTCGCGCACAAACTTACATGCATAAATTTTCAATTTATTAAAATTTTACTGTTTACAACCGTTTCGATACGTGCTAAACTTGCAGATACAAAATATTTTCTAATTTCGAAATAAAGTTGTACTTTGGGACGCATTGTATTTGTGTACGTTTATTTGACAGTCACAGTTGACATTTAGGACCCATAAAACTTTGATATTTAAAAATAAATAAAAATGAAAATATTGGTTCGCCTTGCCTTCTCTCTCTTTAGCCTTGGACGAGGCACGAGGTTCTATGTGATCAGTTTTTAATGGAAAAATGTGAATTTATGGTGACTGCAAAGTTTACTGCTTATGTATAAAAAGCAACAACAACAGTGAATGATTGCATAAAAAATATAGATTTAAAAAATTGGTAATAAAATTTCAACCATAAAAATAAAAATGTGTATTCAAAATAATGATGTGCATCGAGATTCAAATTATATTGACTTTGTTGCCTGTGGCAGTGTTGGAAGGTTGCATTTGCCTTCGACATTGAAGGAAAATTTAAATTTTTCCTTTAAATTCCTTGTGTGGTTTTATGAAATGCGCTGCGACTGATGACAGTTATCTATATCTGTATATATTGTATTGTGTTTTAATAGTAAATGAAATCATAAAACATGAAATGAATTCATCATCCATTTGGATATATAGTGTATTGGTACATAAAAGTTTTATGCAAACGATAGCAACTTATTTGATATGTAGCAGAATTTCCTTTCAGGTCAACAAGTAGTGTTCATAATTGAACTTAGAATGGTTTCAGTTAAATAATTTGAAAGGTCATTATATTCAACATTTTGAGTCGTTTTCGAGTTAGTGCATCTGGGCACTTTTACTCTTTGATAGCCGGGGTAGCTTCTGCAGAATTCCAGCCTTCTCACTGACTAATTAATGTAATCTTCAAAAGCTTCGTGATTATTTGATGACTGAGATTATTCTGAGATTAGATAGCGCTAAGTAGGGCAGCCTGTCGGTTTCCGCGAATAGCTTCAGGGCTTTGTCCGTAATGTATTTTTTCACTGGGTCTATTCTAAGGTCTCTTAGCATGTCATTTGTAGGGTTGTTCCATACTTTGAAGAGTCTTTGGAGAGCCTTACTTTCAGTAACGTGCAGCTTCTAGACACGCCCATAGAGTAGTGTTGGTCTGATTATCTGGCTGTAGATCAGCTAGATGTATAATAAATTATCAGATGTGCTTAATATAATATAAATTAAGTAGTAATCTAAGTCATTATTCTGATATGACAGCACAATTTTATTGGTACATATCACACCGCACTTGTATGCATCGTTAGTCTTAGTTTAATGTTTATTATTTTATAATATGAACCATTTAAGAAGAGCTAACCCTGTTAAAGTTCTATAAATTGACCTCAAAAATAATAAACGTAACGATTCAGTGCTAAAATTGTAAGAACTTTTGTAAAAACTGTGATTTAGAAGAAGTAGACTAATATTTTATATATACTTCTTTACTTACTATAAATTTGGTGTACATTATTGTCTACTGAAAAGTAAAAATTCTCTTAGATATGGGAAAGTAAATATTATGAAGTATTTGTCGATAAACTATTGTATTCACAAAGTCGCTTAGTGGTATTACACTTAGACTGTTGGAGTGAAAGGCTCTTCTTTTATTGAAAATGACTTTGGTGTAGTATGAGCCATCAACTGTCATCGCTACAGTCACCTGATTGTCGAATGATATGACATTCGACTGGACTGTAGGTGTAAAAGATCCTTCTTTTATTCAAAATGACGTTGGTGTAGTATAATTCATCAAGTCTCTTCGCTACAGTCATATGATTATCGATTTCTTTTGGACATAAAATTGAAAATATGAATTCGAATGATATATGGTATCAACAGAAGAATATTACAATCAACATGACACATTTTGTATTGGCTTTGTTGTGTGAGAAATAATCTGAAAGTTTAGTTACGAGGTTCGAAATCATTGATTTTTTTG